CTCGGCAGCCCTGACAGTGGACGCAGTGTCTGTTTCCACACGGCCCTGACAACAGAGTGTGACCAAACTTTAGGGTTTCTGACAACTGAATGTTTAAGAAAAGGCCTCGGATTATTTTTATTTCTAATTCTCTTGCTGTGAGTGAAATGCGGGGGTCTGTTCCTCTCACTGTCATGTTCTGCTTTGGCTGAGGGTCATGTAAAGGCAACACAGAAAGAACATTTGTAGGAAAAGTCGGTTGGACTGAGAACCCCTACCCAATGATTCCTCTTTTTTTTTTTAAAGATTTTATTTATTTATTTACATGACAGAGAGAGATCACAGGCAGGCAGAGAGGCAGGCAGAGAGAGAGAGGAGGAAGCAGGCTCCCTGCTGAGCAGAGAGCCCAATGTGGGGCTCGATCCCAGGACCCTGAGATCATGACCTGAGCCAAAGGCAGGGGCTTAAACCACTGAGCCATGCAGGCGCCCTGCAATGATTCTTCTTAAAGTGACCCAAGATTGGGAGCACCCCTGGTCACAAGACAGAAGCAGATACTAATTTTTGCTGGAAGAATTCAGACATGTCAGAGAAATTCCAGAAGAAAAGATCGAAAAAATATAAACTCACAGTCAAAAGTCACAAAGTTCACCAGGAAACAAGGCAGTATGAGTGAGTCAGCAGAAGAAATGGGCAAAAGAATCACACCCACAGAATCTTCGCTATAGTTACAGATACTATTGATGCTGCCAATCAATAATGTAAAATTAGTTTAATATGTTTAAGAAATAAGAGAATGAATTGAAAATGTGATGGACAGGGGTGACTGGGGGCTCAGTTGGTTAAGTGTCTGCCTTCGGCCCAGATCATGATCCCAGGGTCCTGGGATCGAGCCCCACATCAGGCTCCCTGCTCAGCGGGGAGCCTGCTTCTCCCTCTCCCTCTCTCCCTGCTTGTGTTCCCTCTCTCGCTGTGTCTCTCTCTGTCAAATAGATAAATAAAATCTTTAAAAAAAAAAAGAAAGAAAGAAAATGTGATGGACAAAAAGCTATGAAAATACAAGAAATTAGAAAAACAACAAAGAACTAACAAAATCGAAGATGGTAATTGTTGAAAATAAAATCTAAAATAGTTTAACAGCAAATCTGATGTAACTGGTATGAAACTTTGTGAACTGGAAAGCAGGTCTGAAGAATCATCCAGAATGAAGCAAAGACCACACGGGAATGGAAAATACGGAAGGGCTGGTGACAAGCACTGATGACGGAGGGGGAGGGCTGATGCATGCGTGGCTGGAGCTGGAGGGGAAGGAACAGAGAATGCGGGAGAGGCAGCGTGTGAGGCGGTAAGACCCCAGGCTCGCACGACGGAGGGAAGAGCCAGCAGCACACGGATGCAGGCCCCTCACTGTCCAGGGAGCCGCAGAACAGCGAAGACGGAGACCAGACTGAGCCCTTCTGAGGAACGGGGACAAGACTGGCCTCGGAACCCTCGACAGCAGCCATGAGACCAGCGCGACCCACCCCACTTGCTTAGGGCAAAACAGGCCAACCGAGCGCTGTATTCCTGACCAAACTATCCTTCCAGAACAAGAACAGAACTTAGCCTGGCAAAGAGAATTGAGAACTTATGACTGCTGACCTTCACTAAAGGAAATTCTAAAGAGAGTCATTAGGCAAAGGACAACCAAACAGGGGTCTGAGGCAAGAGGAAACACCCAGCAGAGGTAGGTGTGAATGACGGAGCCATGGCAGGACACTCCTGTGGGGACAGAGAGGACCCAGACGCCAGTGTGCGCCTTTCCTCACATACGCCACACCAGACGGTGGAGGTGAACTCCGCACTCCTTGTACTGTTTGGGGGAAGGGAAACAACACTGATTAACCTTAGATCCCCAGTACTCACATATTAAAATTTCTGAAATAAAACGAGTGTCTAACTTCCCAAATGTCAGAATGAGAATAGAAACCCACTCCATCCAAAATAAGGCACAAAAAGAGAAAAGAAAGAAAAGGTGAGCCAAGGGGCACTGAGCTGACTCATGAGGTTCTTAGTATGATTTCGAGGAACTTGGCAAAAGCTGAGGACATGGTGCCCCAGGACAAGAGCAAGGCCCAGTGCTCTGCTCTGCTCCCTATGGGCCTGAGCACTGCACACACTGATTAGGGACAAATGGGGTCACCCAATGGGCTCCAGTCTCCCAAATAACAAAGTGTTGACGGTTTCATGCAAACTAAGCATAATAATCCCGTTTCCCACCAAAAACAGACTAATGCAGGCTCAGCATCCCCAAACACTTGCCGACAGCCTGTCCTGACGTCCGGCTGCCATGCACCCTGCAACAAGCTCGTCATCGACGGGTCCGATCGAGTTTTCCCTTGACACTGGACCTGGAAACCACACCCAGGTTTGGCAGCAGAAACACTCCACACCGAAGTCTGACATCCCCCCATTTCTCAGAAGAAAAACCAGGACAGACTGAAGGAGCAACTTTCTGGGTGGGACTGAAGCGAGGACTGGAACCCAGGACGGCCAGGTCCCAAAGACTACACAACAGTCTCACAGGAGCCGATGCTGTGGACGACGACGTTCACCAGAACGAGCCATGGTGGAAAAGGCCAGAGACGACGGAGCCATGCATGCGGCCGTGCAGGAGCTGGGGAAGGAAAGGTCTTGGAGGGGAGGTGGATAGAGACAGAATGGGAGTTTTGTGTGTTCACGTTTTTCTCCATGTTGTGCTTTTCAAGAGCCAAAGAAGGGACTCTGGGGCAGCCCTGCCACATCGCCCCTAGCCACGGCTGGACCCCGCCACCCCCCAACCCACGAAGTGCACACTAGGTCTCTTACTGATGTTCTAGGACCTGTGCTTTAGGTTTTGGACTTTTCCCATAAGCACCTGGTAACCTACCTCAAAAGCTTTTACTGTGTGAAACATCTGGTGTGACATGCCAGCCCTGACAGTCCCTTTGCTCCAGACTCCGGAGAGCGACAGGTGTGGCTCAGCAGGAGCTGGGGCACAGCCTCCAGGCCAGGAGAGCCACAGATGGCCCCCAGGTGCCTCTGGCCGAGCCCAGAGCCTGGAAAGGACAGGCTGGAGGAGCCCCACCCTCCTGCGGCTGGCTGACCTGGAGCCCTCAGGCCAGCCGCCAGCCCAGACGTGCCCCAGGCGCAGGCACGTTGGGGACGGGCCGTGGAGAGACCCCGCTCTCGGGCCCCCGCTCGGCCGGGCCCTGAGAGCCCCGACGGACGCCGCTGCTTCTGTGTGGTTCTCCTGGCACCGCTTTCCGGTGGCGACCTTGGCTCACCGTGAGAGCGCGTGACAGCTCTGCCCCGTTGCCGCTGGGCACAACTAGCCAGGCACTGGAGCTCCGGCCAAAGCCCCCTCCTTCGCCGCGACACTCCCTCCTCTGCGCCATCACACTCTTTCCTTGGAGAAACCTCCCCGGCTGCACTGCTCTCTGCGGCACCACGCGTCCCCGCTGAGGCACACGAGCCGTCTCTGGTTCTCACCAGACCCATCGGGTCGGATCACTGATGTGGTGGATAGGTGACCCAGGAGCCTCTCGCCAAGCCACGACCATCAGCAACTCAGTGCCGCGTGCTGCCCTCACCCCCGGGGTTCTGCCACTTCGTAAATCTTCCTGAAATGGAGCACCGAGAACAGATCAGCCGCGAGCAGCTGCTGCTCACTCCTCTACCCAGCCCAACAATGCACAGGTGACGAACAGAGACTGCCAGAGGCAAGGGTTTACGAGTTTACAAAGCACAGCGTCCTGGTCCTGCAGAGGGAGGCAGGACAGTAGCCCCCATTTCATTCCCCAGACCACGTGTTGGGGCCACTTCTGGAAACGGTGGGCCTGTCACTGCTTTTGCGGTCACACACTGGTCCATCAAGGGACTGGCATCGAGGGTGGCAAAGGCCCAGGTCCTAGGGTGGCCGCACCAGAAGGCGAGAGAAACCGCACCACGGACACCGCATCCTGCCAAAGGCAACCACCCCCCCGGGGTCTGCTGGGAGGCCTGTGGCTCTCTGTCCATGTTGTCACTGGTGTTCCTTTCTTTTCTTGGTGTTTTTAAATCCTCGTGACGCACCTTGACCGAAACAGATGGTAGAAGGTATTCTGAAAAGGAAAAGAAGTCTTTGTACTAAACATCACGGTTTTTGCCAACAAAACACCCCACTCGTAAAAGCAGCATCGTTGAGGACAAGCTCTTCTTGTTCTGGGGGCTCTTCCTCTTTCCCTTGTGGGACACCCAGAACGTGGGCTCTCCTTTCCCTAGATGCCCTGTACCCTGGGCCCCAGGGCAGCTCCGGCCAGCTGTAGCCGCACGACCTGCTTCCTGAGGGAGACCCTCCCAGCCAGCGGGATGCTTGCCTGGGACACTTGGCCAAGAGGGCCCCTGCTGCCAAGTTTTCAGGCCCAGGCTTCTCGAGACCCACCATCTGGAAGAAATCCTGACCGCCACGGGCCTCCAGGACCCACCTGCAGGCCGAAGTCTGGGTGGCTGCGGGAGGGCGGTGGACGGACACGAGCCCGTCTTCCTGCCCGTTTGCGTTTGTTGGCTATCTCTTCCCTTCTAACGTTTTTCCCAAAATGAGACTTGGAATCAAGTTTAAGCCAATAAGAGCATAATTACTATGAGAAAAACAAACATGTAGATCGTAACTTAAGCAACTACGGCCGGTGTTGGTTCTGTCCCAGGTCAGGCCACGGTTCGAAGCGGAGGCAGCACCCTGCCTTCCCGGTCCTGACCCAGAGCGAGCACGAGAAACCGAGACGTTCAAGGAAACACATCGTCAGGCTCGCAGCTGCTGTGGAAGGCAGCGCGCCGACCCAGCGTCCGCTTCTCAGTGCGAACACTGCCCGAGGTCAAGCCCAGCACCATCGTCATAGAACACACAAGCGGAACTTGCTGCGGAAAGACGCCAGGTACTAACCTGTGGCCGTACGTCCGCCGCTCGCCCACAGGTTCTGGGCGGGGGGCTGCATGCTCAGGGCAGACATCCATGGCGTCCCCTCCTGACTGCTCCTCGCCCTCCCCCAGAGCTTCTGCCGACTCCTGGATGGCGGCCCCGGGCATGGCTGGGCTGTGGAGACAGCGACGTGAGGGGCGGCCCCTGTGGCCTTGTCTTCCCTCACGGGCCCCCTCCCCACCAAAGTGCTCCTTTTTCTCGCAGAAATAGTTTCTAGCTATCCTGATGTGGCGTGATTCTCCGACCGCTGAGACAGACGAGGATGGCGACAGAGCCCGAAACGAACGCGTATATAACTGCTCCCACGTGTATAAGCTCAGGGGCAGCTGCACTTACTCTTCTGGAAACAGAAGCTCTGGGGTGCCCCGTGGTGCCTGCCCTCCAAGTGAAGGTCCTCTCACACCCTCGCGTGAGAAATCTACTGACCTTAACTCCAGGGCACAGAGCATCTCCTCCCTGACCCTACTGGATGCAGCACTGTGGGGCTTTTCTCCTTGACATGATCCCTCCAAAAGGGGAGCTACCGCACCTCCGAGGCCTGCTCCACGTTGCCCTGCCTCTCAGAATCCCGTTACTTTACAGAGCAAAGTCCCGCGGAGAGAAACTGCTCTGAGAAAACCTCAAGCTACCCCGTCCCAGCGGCTCTGAAGCACCACTCAGAGCATCACTAGAAAGAGGCAGCGAAGCAACACGGATCCATTCCCCGGGTGCGCGCGCCAGCAGGAGGGGCAAAGCGCTTTGCGGTCAAGTCACCCACCAGACAAAGAAAGTCAGGGTGGGTGTGAGGGGGCCTCGCAGCCTGGGACAGACTCCCAGGGGCCGTCAGCACCAGCGCTGGGGCTGGTGCGCGGGAGGGGAGGAGGGGCAGGAACAGCTGCAGCGGGAGCACAGAGAACCGGCCAGGAGCAGACACCGCGGAGACCCCAGACCCTCCCAGCAGGGCAGCAAAACCTTCCCCGGCGGGCTGAAGCCCTCCAGACCCACAGCCCCACGTCAGCGTCTCCGCATCCGCAGCTGCGCCGGACGCGAGGCAGAGGCTTGGCCGGCGCGCCGCGCCCGCAGCCGCACCAGCGCCCGCACCCGCGGCGTCTCCACGCCCGCAAGGCTTGTCCAACTCCGGGGCCCGCCGCGCGCCCCGCCTCGCGCACCCTCTGCTCCTCTTCGGTTTATCGAACCGGAAGTCCGCCGGGTACAGGTGCCGCCGCACCAGGTGCTCCTTTCTGTCTCTGCCGCTCCTGAACCTCTCCGCACAGCCCTCCACCAGGCACTGGTACTGAAACACAGAGGCTGTCACCCCCGCCCTGACCTCCGTCCCCACGGGGCCCCCTCGCCTCGCCCCTGACCCCCAGGGCACTGGTACCGAGGCAGACGGCCCGGCAACAGCCCCCCCTGCCCCAGATGCCGGCACTCGGGCCAGGGGACGCGGGCGCGTCACCCACCATGTCCTGCCTTTCCGACAGGATCTGGAAGAGCGAGTCGTGCCACTCCAGAATGTGGACGTCCAGCAGGTGGACGGACGGGAAGGCCCGTCCGCAGAAGGAGCAGACGTTTCTGTGCAGGGTGTGGTAGTGGTGCTCGTAGTTCTCCAGCGAGTCGAACACCTGGCAGCACCCCGCCACCTGGCAGGTGAACTCGGGCACCCTGGCGAAGGAAGCCCCGGTTGGAAGGCCCCTCTGCTCCTGGCACAGGGCCTCCGGCTGCCGGGCCCCACCCGCCCTCCACGGAGCCTGACAAAGCTTTGAGGTTTCCTTCCCGATCCCAAACCCTAGTATTCGCAGACCAGCTAGAAGGCGGCCAGGCCCGACCACAGGGCGGGGGACGGCTGTCGGGCAGAGGGCGGGGTAGCAGGGCACTCGGGAGGGCCGGGCGGGGCGGGGCGGGGGGCGGTACTGGGCTCAGAGCCGCTCACCTGGGCCTCTCGGGCGACCCTGTCACCTGCGTGAGCACGTCCTGGAGGTAGAGGTGTCGCTGCACATCCCCGTCCTGCTGGACACACGTGTGGTGGCCGGGGCCGGGCGCCGCGATACCGGCACCCCCATCGGTCCCGCCCCGCAAGCCCCGCCCCGACCTCAGGCTCCGCCCCCGCCCGTTGGTCCCGCCCCTCCAGCTCCGCCCCGACTGCAGGCTCCGCCCCCGCCCGTTGGTCCCGCCCAGCAGGCCCCCGCCCCTCCCGCAGGCCCTGCCCCTCCCGCAGGCCCCCGCCCCTCCCGCAGGCCCCGTCCCCGCCGACAACTGCCTTCTCTCTCCTTTGCTCACACACCTCGAAGAACTCGTGGTCCCGCGGGAAGCGCACCCGCCGCGCCGCGAAGTGGAAGGGCGGGGCCCCGGCCGCGGGGTCCCGCTCCACAGGCAGCGGCTCGGCCGCCCCGGGTGCCCCCAACAGACGGGAGTGCAGCGCGGGTGGCAGCTGCATCACTCCGCGTGCCGGCGGCCGCGCATGCTGCCGGCCACCGTCCGCGAGCCGGGCGGGGCGGGGCCGGAAGTGACGTGGGGCCATTTCCGCTGCCGGCGCGGGCCGCGGGGCTTCGGCGGCCTGGGTCGGGACGCGCTGTACCCGCGGTGAGTCCCGCCGGGGGTGGCGGCGCCTGAACCTTGGGGGGCGGCGGGGCGGGCGCGGCCCTCGTTCCCTGCGCGCCCGCCCGGCATGCGCAGCGCCTCCCCGCGCCGGCTGCCTGCGGCTCGCCCCTGGACCGCGCGCTGTCAGACCCGCATGCCCGCGCGTTGGCGCCGCCCTGGCCGCCGCGCCGTCCGGCCGACCGTAGCGTCCGCACGCGGGACCTCGGGGTTCCTTTATCGGACCCGCACCCGCGGACCGCCGCCCGGGGACGCCCGCACTGCCCCTCCCAGCCTCCCTGCGCGCAGCGCGTCCGCCTCCCGCGGGCAAGGCTGGGGCGGCCCCTGGGTCGTTCTGCTCCCGAGCCGCGCACCGGACCCGAGCCCGCGCGGTCGTGGCGGCCCGCGCTCCCTCGTAGCGTTTCTTGTTGGAAGAAGGCCGCACCGCCCCCTTGGCCCAGTGGCCCTCGCTTGGCCGGCCAGGCCCGGTCTGTCCGCCTGCCTTTCTGGCGTCCTGCGTCCCGCCCGCGCCCGAGACGTGCGGGGCTGTGCGCGGTGCGCGGTGCCGCCGGGGGCACGTAGAGGCGGGGGCGGCCCCTTGGAGCCTCTGCCTGGCTGGAGAGACGTCCGTCCGGCTGTGAGACGGTTCCCCACTTAGAGTGCTGAGGGCCCTGGGCGGCGGGCGGGCGGCTCTGAGGCCGACCCCACTGCCCACCCAGATGGTCCCGCGTAGAGTGGGGCGCACACGTGCTCGCGGCGGGCCTGGAGACGGGTTCTGCGTCTTCAACACATGAACACATAGCTCTGAGGTGTAAGTCTGAGGGTGCAGTGACCTCGCTTCGTTCGGGAAGGAAAGGCTGGTGCCTGTGCGCCCCGTCGGTCCCTTCGCGGCCGGGAAGAGCTCTGGACGGACCGTTTGCTCATCTCATGAAAAAGCATTGAGAGTCTTGACGTTTTCTCACGAATGGCACAACGCTTTGCAGGCCCCTTTGTGCAGTTGGCTTTGAGCCCTCAGTAAAGACCCGCTGCCACTTCTCTCTGCCTCACTCACTCCCGGGGAAGCCCCCGGCCCCTCCTGCACCCCGCCGCTGGCTCACAGTGGGGAGGGGTTCCGCCCCTCCCCCACGGCTGTTTGGCGGCCAGCAGAGGAGCTCAGGAGTGGGCCTGGTGAGGAGATGCTCCTGAGCTGTTCTCAGTGGGCGCTGCTGACGTTTTCGGTGGGATGCTTCTCTTGGTGGTCTGGCTCTCTGGCCTCCTGCCCACCCAATACCCAGAGCCCCCTTCTGGTCGCTGTGACGAGCGGAAGTGTCCCTTACACACTTTCCGACGTCTTCCTGGGAGGTCCTGCCCGCCGTCGAGAGCCACCGTTGGTGCCGGAGTCGTCCACATCCCCACGGAGACCTGGCTTCCTTATGATCTTTGTGACGAGGGTGTGTCTGTGCTTGTACTTTTAGCACAAACACAAGGTTTCCTGCAGATGGTTCCCTCGGGCGGTCACTCTTCTGAAGGGCTCTCCCCTGTGTGTACCTGGTGGACAGGTGTTTCTTTTTGGTGGGAAGCGCGGTGTGCTTGCCGTCTGGCATGACGAAGGGTCTTCGGTGCAGCCAGCGTGGGACAACCCCCATTGCTGAGGACCTTCGTAGCGCTCGGATGGAACCGGATGCCCTTAGATTCGGAGAGGCCTCGGGGGGAAGTTCCACGTCCTCTTTGCTGTCTTGCTCGTACGTTGGAGGTCCTCTGTGATTGGTACCCAGTGGTTTGGGATGCTGTCGGTTCCCAAACTCGGATCCAGGGTTCCTTTTGTAAATCCAGCCCGTTCTCCAGGAACAACATTTCCACGCGGTCAGCCCTATGTAATAAAAGCACGTGTGTTCCTGCTTCTCCGGTGACGACGCCACTGGAACTTACTGGGTGTGGGCTCTTTGGTGCTCTATGAGGGTGATTGTGTTGAAGCCTGGCGCACAGCAGCTCTGTGGTAGGAGTAATAGTCACCCCTTGTCAGAAGCCCAGAGAGGCCAAGGTCTTTGCCTGCGGCCCCACAGCTCAGAGCTGGCCAAGGCAGGGTTCAGACCGGCTGGGACTCCACAACCCATGCCCTGCTGTGCCTCGTGTCGGTGGCTGTGGTTACCATGACCTGATTCGTAAGTGTGCGTGTTCGTGCTGAACTCTTCTGCTCTTACATTTGGAGACGGCCTGGCTCTGGCCGGTTCTCAGCGTCTGGGCCACAAGACTAGAGCCTCAGTCTCTCAGTGTGGAGCTGCAAATCAGTGCTCACTGCTTAGTTCGCAAGCGTGGCGTGTGTGCCCAGTCTTCTCTGCTCGATGCTCGATGTTGAACTGGGGCCTCCTCGTCCTCACCAGGCCTGTTAGCACAGTTTTGTTTTTATAAACAGCTTTCCTCTCACTTTTAGGAGAACCTGTTGTGATGTTTCTGAGCCAAAACTATGAGTGAATTTCGGATTCACCACGACGTCAATGAGCTGCTCAGCCTGCTGCGTGTCCATGGAGGGGATGGGGCTGAGGTCTATATCGACCTGCTGCAGAAGAACAGGACACCCTATGTCACAACCACTGTATCTGCACACAGTGCCAAGGTGGGTTCCGTCCCTGGTGCTGCGCTGGGCACCGGGCAAGCTGGGCCCCGTCCTGGTGTAGCCTGTGCACAGAGTTCACGAGTTTCCTGACAGAGCAGCTGTAGCATCACTAGTGTCGATGGCCGACAGCACTCGTGGAGGCTTTTCTTGGACCATGTCCTCTGCTCAACTCTGTGCTTCTGATGCTTCCTCATACAAGCTCTTGTCACCCACCCTGTTGTACAGATGAGTAAATGGAGGCTCGGGGAGAGTGCTGGGATGTCAGCCTGACCTCAGAACCCAGGTTCTGGGTCCCATGAGGAAGGAGACTCCTGTTCCTCTGCACGGAAAGGAAGCTCCTCGTGGCGCCTGGCTGGCTCAGTTTGTGGAGCAGCTGGATCTCGGGGTCATGAGTTCGAGTCCCACGGTGGGCGTAGAAATTACTTAAAAAAAATAAAAAACTTGAAAAGAAGAGGAAGCTCCTGGTATTAACTGTATTGAAATCCCTTTAAAGCAGATTTTTCTATCTTTATTCAAACAATGTATAATTCAAAATTACGGATTTTTAGTAAAGAGAATTTTTAAATTTATTTTTAGAAACACACTGTGAAGCTTCAGTTATTTAAATACGTTAATAATGGCAGCAGGAGAGTTAGGAAAACTTACTGAGCAGGCAGTGTTTGGGAACACAGAAGTGAACGTGATTTATTACAAAGGGAGCACCGAAAATCAGTGAGCAGACATAACCCAGAGCCGAGCCTAACTCCGGAGGGAAGAGCGCTGAACGTAGGAAGCAAGTGCATAAAATGGTAAAAAAATCCAGGTGGCTGTTTCCTGATCTCAGGCTGAGGAAGCAGGAGGGGAGCTACAGAGGAGTGTGTAGGGCTAACCGCGTGTTGGGTGTAAGTCTTACTTCAGACGTATGGGATCATTTAGCCTACCTAGTTGCACTGTTTCGGTTTTTGTGTTAATTTTCTGGAAGATTTCTTTTTTAAGATCTCACTTGTTTATTTGACAGAGACCACAAGTAGGCAGAGAGGCAGGCAGGAAGATAGGTGGAGGCAGGCTCCCCGCTGAGCAGAGCCTGATGTGGGGCTCGATCCCAGGACCCTGAGATCACAACCTGAGCCGAAGGCAGCGGCTCAACCCACTGAGCCCCCAGGCGCCCCCTGGAAGATTTTTAGAAGTTGTTTGCTATTGCCACTGAATCTCTCATGTTTATGCTTTTGAGGTTAAAATAGCAGAATTTTCTCGTACTCCAGAAGATTTTCTAAAAAAGTATGATGAACTGAAATCTAAAAACGCGAGGAACCTTGACCCGCTGGTGTACCTGTTATCAAAACTCACAGAAGACAGAGAGGTAACGGCTGTGTGGGCTCGCGTGGGGAGTGTCGGGCAAGGCGACTGGGACGCGGGTTTCTGACGGGGCTCGTCGGGTGGGATTGCTCCGATGGACACTCACGAGATTTGCTCCGTTGACACAACGCCTCTGACGGCACATTTCTGCCCCCGTGTAGCTCCTCGACGTGACGTAGGAACGTGTCTGTGGAGCTTCAGAAGGGACGTGACTCGGGCTGGCGATAAACTTGAGAAGTAGTACAGCCCTTACCTCCCAGGCTGGGGGCCTTTATTTTTCATCTTGTCAGATGTGTTTTCGTGTGTTGTGCATCGGACGTGTGCTGCCCGCCGCACTAAGAAAAGCACTAGTGTCGAGGCTGGCAGAGCCGCTGCACCCCCAAGCGTCCAGGGAGGGGATCGGCCCTCTCCTCTGCAGGCCCAGGGCCTGTTCAGGGGTGCAGGGTGTGGCTAGGCCCATTTGACCGCCCGCGCTGGGGAAGGGCAAAAGGACGCGGTCCCGCCGCAGCCTGGGAGACGGGCAGAGTGTAGCCAGAGTGTAGCGAAAGGACCGTGCCCTTGGGCGTGGTATCTGGGGAGTGGCTTTCGGGCGGCCTTGGGGTGCTCCTCCTCTCCTGCGTTGGAGCCGTGGCACCTCGCAGCAGCAGACACCGAGAGACGGGACTGCAGCTCCAGGGCTCGCGGGGGTCCTGCCGTCCCTCCACGTGGAGTCGGGAAGGAAGGAGCCAGGGCTGGCCCGTGCGACGCACCGTCTCGTGTGTTTCCAGACGCTGCAGTATTTACAGCAGAACGCGAAAGAGCGCGCGGAGCTCGCCGCCAGTACTGCGGGCGGCGCCGCCAGCTTCAGCGCCCCGGCCGCGGCCTCCAGGATCTCGGCACAGGAGCTGGAGGAGCTGAGGAAGCGGCTTGGCAGTGTGGCCGCGGGCTCCACGCCGCAGCAGGTACGCAGCCCCCGCCGCCCTTGCGGGGGA